CCCCCCTCTCCCCCTCCCCCGCAGGAGCCACACAGCAGCCTGGAGAAGGAGCCTGAGTCGTGTCCCTGTTGTTCCAGGTGCGACGCTGGCTACATAGGGAAGGCCTGCGAGTGCCAGACGCAGGGCCGGAGCAGCCAGGACCTGGAAGGGAGCTGCCGCAAGGACAACAGCTCCATCATCTGCTCGGGGCTGGGCGACTGCATCTGCGGGCAGTGCGTGTGCCACACGAGCGACGTGCCCAACAAGAAGATCTTTGGGCAGTTCTGCGAGTGTGACAATGTCAACTGCGAGCGCTACAATGGCAAAATCTGTGGGGGCACTGGTGAGTTCTCAGGGATCAGGGTGTCAGGCAGAGCGGGTGGCGGGGACAGACTGACAGACGCCCACCCAGAAGCAGGTCCTGGGTCTGGGCCCTGGTGAATGGAAGGCCATGTTGGTGGGCCTGGGTCTGGGCGGGGGTGACTCTGGTGGCTCTACTGTCTCCCAGATCGTGGGGAATGCCGCTGCGGCAAGTGCCTCTGCAAACCCGGCTATGAGGGCTCGGCCTGCCAGTGCCACAAGTCCACCGATGGCTGCCGGAACCTGCAGGGGTCTGTCTGCAGCGGCCGTGGCCAGTGCCTCTGCAATGTGTGTCAGTGTGACGTAGGCTACCAGCTGCCCTTCTGTGAGGAGTGCCCAGGCTGCCTGTCGCCCTGCAGCCAGCACATGTGAGTGCTCCCCCCACCCAGGCTGGTGCGCATGCGAGCCCCCAGCAGAAACCCACCGCCTGGCTGCCCTCTCCCAGACTTCTGCACACCTGCTGCTGGCCTTCAGCTCCAGGGTCACAGTCCATCTGGGACCACATCTTTCAGGCCTCAGGCCCCAGGGGCTCTGCCTACCTCACTCCCCACCTCCTTCCCCAGCCACACAGGCCACGCAGGCACCAGCATCAGCCCCAGGGACTCAGGACCGACACCACCAGGGCCCTGGTGCCCAGACGCCTCCACTCTCTCATAATATTGCACACCCTTGCACATGCTCTCACACCATTTTACTGCCTGTTGCACACATGCTTACACAGTGGTTCTTGCACAGCTCCTGTGCTGAGTGCCTGAAATTCGACAAGGGCCCCTTCATGAAGACCTGCAGTATGGAGTGTCAGAACCTGAAACTGCTGAGCGAGCCCCCCGAGCCGGGTCGGTATAGGAATCCCAAACTGACGCGGAAATGCAGGGAGCGAGACTCGGAGGGCTGCTGGGTGACCTACACCATGTGGCAGGTGGATGGGAAGGACAAACATGACATCTACGTGGATGAGATTCGAGGTGAGGCCCTGCCAGGGGGGATATGGGTGCCAGAACTCTGGTCGTGGGGCCTCTGGCGATGGCGAGGCTGCTGCGACGGCGAGGCCCTCTCCCTGTGGGAAGGCAGGACTGGCGGGGTCTGGTGAGCATCCTGGATTGTGGTCCTCCCGCCCCAGACCCTCGCCCCATCTCTGAACTCACCTACTGGTGCATGATGGGCATGGATGGCCTGTACCCTTGGCTCAAGGGGACAGGAGGCCACTGGAGGAAAACATGGCCTGAGCTGGTGTCACCCACAGACACTGACCGAGACCTGGAACCCCGTATCCCAGAGCTGGTCCAGGGACAGCTATGTGGTCTGTGGACAATTTGTGTGCTCAGAGCTCGGCCCTGGAGTGGAGGTCCAGGCGCCCTAGGAGCCCAGGCACCTTGTTTCCCAAGTGCTTCCCTATTGTCCACTTGTTCAGCTTCGGGTCTGTACCAGGCCCAATAATGGTGAAGGACATCAAGACATCAACCCTGTCATACAGGTTTCATGTGCCAAGGGGGTGGGAGCCCCTCGGCCAACACCTCAGAACACTAGCACCAAGACTGGGGGTGGGGGTGGGCGCAGCTGGGGACCAAGGTGCAAAGAGCATGTCAGTTGGTGCTTCCCGAGGTGAGAAGTGAGAAGGTCTCTTGGAGGACCTGTTGCCGCTCAGCGTAGAGGATGAGTGTCCAGACACGGGGGACAGAGGGTGCGCAGGCAGAGGCACTGGGTGCCTGTCATTCGAGGGCCCTGTGAGTTCTGGGAGGCATCCGGCTCTCTTTCTAAACATAGTAGTGAGCCCTTAGTAGAATTTCAGAAGAGTGAGGGACACATCTAAACTGTGTTTTCAAAAGCCAGACGCAGACCCATGGGGGGTCGGGGGAACAGTGGACTTCGGGGGGCCGGGTGGACACAGACCTGTAGGGGCTTCCTGAGGTCCAGGTGCTGGAATTTGGAGGTAGTCAGGGTGGGTTGGGCTGGGTCATGGGGGTACTGAGGACAGAGGGAACTGCCCATAGATGGAACATGGGGACTTATCAGGAGGAACTGGGGGACAGGTGCAGGATCCACAGGCGATCCACAGGCCATGACAGGCGGTGGGGTTAGGTTAATTTCAAGGCAGTACATTGGGTGACAATGACAAAGTATGTGTGGGGTTCTGGGACTCATGGTAAACAGACCTCCATGGGATAGTTTAAGGCTTTAGGCAAGCAGCATGGGGAGCCCACAAACTCTCAGCACCCTCACCCCTTTCCCGCTCAGAGAGGCTGAGGGGACACAGGGTTGGGATGCCCGGCTGCTCGCATGACCGCATGTGGGCCAGCAGTGCACCGTGGCCCTTGCCGGACTGCGACCTGCTCTCAGCCCCTTTCCCTACAACGAGAGCCCTGTGTGGCCTGGAGAGCACAGCCTGTTCACAGCTGGTGTCCCACCCATGCTCTGCCCTGGTTAGCTGGTAACCTGGGCCCCTCTTCTTTGTAAACTAGAGTCCTCAAAGTTTCATTTGGAACTGCATGGCCTGGGCTTGTCCCAGCCCCCACCCTGACCCAGACTGGGGGCTGGGTCAGGTTTGCTCCACTGCCGGTGGCTATAAGCTCTGTCCACCTGAGCACTGTGCAGTGACCTGGAATGGGGGCAGGCACAGGGCCTGGTAGCTGGGGAGGGCCTGACAGTCGGTATGCATGTGCTTCTTCCTCACCTTAGAGTGTCCGAAAGGTCCCAACGTAGCCGCCATCGTGGGGGGCACTGTGGCAGGAGTTGTGCTGATCGGTGTCCTCCTGCTGGTCATCTGGAAAGCTCTGACCCACCTGAATGACCTCCGGGAGTACAAGCGCTTCGAGAAGGAGAAACTCAAGTCTCAGTGGAACAATGTGAGTGGCCATCCCAGGGGCCCTGAGGCAGCTGGTCCCACATGGAAGGTCTCACTCTCTGGCCCCTGTGTAACCCTCACACATGCTACCCCTGACACACCCCATCCTCAGAGCTGCTGAGCTCAAGTCCTGCCAATGGAACTAGAACCGGGAGGAAGGTCACCCCGCTCTGAGCTTCTCCCTCCCCTGTGCTCACAAGTCTCATTTGCTTTTCTCACCAGGATAACCCCCTTTTCAAGAGCGCCACAACGACAGTCATGAACCCCAAGTTTGCTGAGAGTTAGGGGCACTTGGAGAAGATAAGGTCATCTGAACCAAACAGATGGAATCACCCCCAGACGACATCTCCTCCATCAGGCCAGCCATGACCCTGCTCCCTGGATGTGGCTTACAATGCCTGACAATTTCATCTGTTAACTGAAAACCCACTGTTATTTTCTGCCCTCAAAATGACAGATATGGCCAGGTGATTGTGTGGACTCCTCAGGAGACACGGTTCCCCCTCTGACACATACAATCTTCTGACAGAGACTTGCAAAAGGGAATCCTGGAGTCTGATGAACTTAGATATGTGTTTTCTTGTATAAAAATGCGGATGGCAGTCTGATGAAAGATGGTAAAATATATTTATATTTGCACTTACCAGGTTATAAAATTACATCCATTGATTACACTGTTCCCTAATCGTGTGTAGAAAACATTAATAAACTTTCCTAGAGTCTCTCCATGGGAGCTTACTCTGCAGGATATGTCCTCCCTCCCCCACTCTGCTCTCAACACACTTAAAGAGTTCCAGCCGACTTCAGTCCTTGGCCCAGGGCTCGACTCTCTTGTCTCCTTCCTCGCCTGTTGGCCATCCATACAAGGCCTCTCTTGGTCCCAGTCCCTGCCCCACACATAAGCAGCTTTCAGAAGACGTGGGGTAGCCCCACCAAATAGGGTCCCTACCGAGCCTGAACCGGGTGGAGTAAGCTCAGAAATCAGCATCCCTTACCTCCTCTCCGGGGTCTACACCTGCTCTTGGGGGATGGGAGTGTGAGAGGCAAGTGAGTTTCAAATGAGTGGTTTTTCCCTAGCCATCTCATCAGGGTCCCTGGGAGCGGGTGAATGGGTAAGAAAACAAGACCTATGTATATGCTGTCAGAAGAGACCCACCTCAGAACGAAAGGCACACAGAGACTGAAAGTGAAGTCATGGAAAAAGATAGAAATAGAAATAGAAATAATAGAAATAGAAATAGAAATTTTCATGCATATAGAAATTTTTAAAAAGCTGGGGTAGCAGTACTTATGTCAGACAAAATATATTTTAAAATAAAGGTTATAATAAGAGAAAAAGAAGACACTACATCATGATAAAGGGAACAGTCTAACAAGAAGATAATAACCCTTGTAAACACTTTATGCACCCAACATAGGAGCACCTAAATATATAAAGCAAATCTTGATGGACATAAAGGGAGAGAGCGACAGTAATTCAGTCACAGTAGAGGATTTTAACACACCATTGACATCAATGGGTAGATCTTCCAAACAGAAAATCAATAAGGAAACAATGGCCTTAAGTGACACACTAGACCAGGATTTAATTTATATTTTCCAAGCATTTCAAGGGCACATGGAACATTTTCTAGGATAGACCACATGTTAGGACACAAAAGTCTCAATACATTTAAGAAGTCTGAAATATCAAGCATTGCCTCTGACCACAATTGGATGAAACTAGAAATAAATTACAAGACAAAAGGATGAAAAACACACAAACACGTAGAAGTGAAATAGCATACATTTTCAGATGCTCCGTAGTGTTCCTATAGTCAGCTGAGACAAATGAAAATGAAAATACAACTCAAAATCTATGGGATGCAGCGAAAGCCATCCTCAGAGGGAAATTCACAGCATTATAGACCTTGTTTCCTTGTTTCAGGAAACAAGAAACTCTCAAACACCTAAAGGAGCTAGAAAAAGAACAACAAATAAAATTCAAAGTGAGCAGAGGTAAGAAAATAATAAAGTTCAGAGCAAAAATAAACAGAATAGAATCTTTAAAAAAAAGAAGAGACAGAGAGGCTAGGCTGTCCTCACTTGGCTAGGCTAGGCTCCAAGGCTAGGCATCAAGGGGAGGTGAGGCTCTCTGAGGCTTCGAGGATAGGCTAGGAAATTCGAGGCTAGGTTAGGCTCTCTGAGGCCCAAGGCTCAACTTTCCAAGTCTCCGAGGCGACCCCGGGCTCTCTGAGGCTAGCATTAGTCTTTAAATGATGTCACACTGCACACTGACAAGTCACATGCTCTGTTCTTGTGTTGGCAGTGGTAACTTACAATGAGCCTAAAGGGTCTGAGCACCAGACCAACCTGCAGGGAGCAGACACTCATTCCAACACCCCCGTTCCTTCTGAGTTCCACCCTGGGCCTGCACAGAGAGCACCGGCTGCTGCGGACTGGCTTCAGTCGAGTGTTCACCAACTTACACGGAATTATGAAAACACATTTTCAGATGTTCTGTAGTGTTCCTGTAGTCAGCGAGCCTGTGTTACATTGTAAAGTGCAGCACCTGGCTTGAGCAAGAACCCAATAGAGATTAGCTATCATCTTTTTAAAAGCCAGAAAAGGAGAAAGGGAGGGAAGAGAAAGTGATCAGTCCAATTCAGTGCTCTTTAGAGACACCTAATACCAGAAAACAAACACTAAACATATCATATATAATTTTTCTGATGATGGAAAAAAAGTATGAATATAAGCAAATTACATAAAAAGAAAACTAAATATTCTATTAAGGCAAGAACCCTTATTTGTGATAAACAAGTCAGCACTAAGTCATTTATTACACTAATTGAAGTGAATCAATAGTAAGGTTAAGGAAAGATTCCACAGGAGTTTGAATAGTGTCCCTCCAAAATTCATGTCCACCCACAACCACAGAACATGACTTTATTTGGAAGTAGGGTCTTTGCTGATGTAATTAATTAAGATGAGGCCATGCTAGATTGGGGGGGTCTAAATCCAATGACTAGTGTCCATACAGGAAGGGGAGAGGACTCAATCAGATACAAAGGAGAGAAGACAGAGATTGAAGTGACACAGCTGTAGGCTAGGAACCCAAGGATTGCCAGCTGCTACCAAAAGCTGAAGGAGGCAAGGAAGGATTCTTTGTTAGAGCCTTGAGAGGGAGCATGGCTCTCTCAACACCTTGATATCAGCTCCAGAATTGAGAGAGAGCGTATTTCTGTTGTTTTAAGCCACCCAGTTTGTGGTGTTTGTTTTGACAGGCCCAGGAAATGGATCCAGGTACCATGAAGTATAACCACTGGACCAGGAGAGGGCACTGTCTACCACCAAGCACCACATACACGTCAACTTGGGCCCGAAATAATTATTGATGTTTACAGAGAAAGCTATACAAATCATGTTCAGTTATAATTTAAGCCTTTGTTGTTGTTTTTTATGACATAAACAAGTTACTATTTACCACTTTAAAAATTTACAGCCAGCCCAGCCGGGCGTGGCTCAGCAGTTGAGCATCAACCTAGGATCCAGGCGACGGGGGTTCGATTCGCGGCCAGGGCACATGCCCAGGTTGCAGGCTCGATCCCAAGGAGGCGGCCGATCAATAATCTCTCATCATTGATGTTTCTCTCTCTCTCTCTCCCTCTCCTTTCCTCTCTCTGAAATCAATAAAGATATATATATATAAAAGTTAAAAAATAAAAATAAAAATTTACAGCCAGGTGCTCTATGTGTGGAGTACATATGCTCTGTCTCACTGCTTCACTAATAAGCTCTCTTTCCCTTTAAACTCTAAAAAGAAATAATCAAATTAAAATTTAAATTTACAACTATTTTCATATTGCTGGATAATTTGTGACCTTTGCATCAAGTTGGCCAGGAGCTAAGGGTATCTGTGGTTAAATTCTCCCAACAATTTCCCTTCCAGAAAGAGGTACATTTATTTCTTGATTGTTAATCCTCACATGAGGATAGTTTTTCCATTGATTTTTAGAGAGTGGGAGGGAGGGGAGAGGGGAAGAGAGAGAAGGAGAAACATCAATGAGAGAGAGACACATTGACTGGTTGCCTCTCCCATGTGCCCCAATTAGGGCCAGGGATCAAACCTGNGAGAGAGAGAGAAGGAGAAACATCAATGAGAGAGAAACACATTGACTGGTTGCCTCTCCCATGTGCCCCAATTAGGGCCAGGGATCAAACCTGCAAACCAGGCATGTGCCCTTGATCAGAAATCGAACCTGTGACCCTTCGGGGCAAGGGCCGATGCTTTAACCACTGAGTAACATCAGCCAGGGAAGTACATATTTTAAAATTTCAATAGTCAGGGCCTAATTCACATTTCCCAGCTCAAGGGTCTCGCCAGCCTGATGGGTACTAAAGATCCCCAGCCTAGCATGGGTGCAGCTGATTCTCTTTTCAAGCCTGGAGCCCAGCCTTCTAGACCACACTTAGGCCAGTTCATACCACTTTGCAGGGAGAATGTCTTGCTTCCTGTGCAGTGTTTACAGCGCCCCTTTTCCCGGAGTCTCTCTGAATATGGAGGCCAGAAACTAATTTATGGTACAAAGGGACAGTCACCATGGTGGTCTCAAGGATAGCTCTCACACCCATGCATATATGGTCAACTAATAATCGACAAGGGGGCCAAGAATATTCAATAGAGAAAGACACTCTTCAATAAGCGGTGCTGGGAAAACTGGATATTCACATGTAGAAAAAATGAGAGTAGACTCCTATCTGAAACCTCTCACAAAAGTTAACTCAAATGGATTAAAGACTTAAACGAAAGACCAGAAATCACAAAACTCCTAAAAAAGTAAAAGAAAAAAAGAAAGAAAGAAACACAGGGAAAAGGTGCCTTGACATGGGTCTTGGCAATGATTGTTTTTTGATGTGACGTATAAAGCACAAGCAACAGAATAAAAAATAAGCAAATGCGATCACATCAAACTAAGAAGCTTCTGCAAGGGAAGGGGGGAGAAGGGGGCCTAATATATGGTGACGAGAGAAGATATGACTTTGGGTGGTGGGCACACAGTGCAATATACAGATCTTGTAACATAGAAACCCAACCTGAAACCTATATGTTCATATTAACCATTGTCATCCCAATAAATTTAAGAAATCATAATAATCATCATCTTAAAAAAAACACTCCTGTAAGAACCATCTATCTAAAATGCAAATATGAACCTGTCAAAATAAATAAATAAATAAATAAATAAATAAATAAATAAATAAATAAATAACTGCACGGCAATGAAAATTGTCCACAAAATGAAAAGACAAACTATGAAATGGGAAAATATATTTGCAAACTATGTATCTGATAAGGGGGCAACAAGCAAAATACATAAAGAACTCATACAACTCACTAGCAAGATAACCCCAAATGATCCAATTTAAAAAATGGGCAAGGGACCTGAGTAGACATTTTTCCAAAGAAGATATACAAATGACCAACAGGTCCGGGAAAAGGTGCTCAGCATCACTGCTCATCGGGGAAATGCAAATCAAAACCATGAACTATCTCCTCACACCCGTTAGCACGGCACTGATCAGAAAGGCAAGAGATAGCAAACGGTGGCGAGGGTGCGCCGTGCGTGGGAATGTAAACTGGCACAGCCGCTGTGGAAAACAATATGAAGTTTCCCTTAAAAATTAAAAGTAGAACTACCACATGGTCCAGTAATTCCATTTTTGAATTCCAAAGGAATGCTCATTTCAGCATGATTTACTATAGCCAAGACATGGAAACAACCTAAGTGTCCATCTATGGATGAATGGAGGAAGAAACTGTGGGATACAC